TATGTCCTATGTACCCCACGCATGTGCGTGTGTGCACATGTGCACATATGTCCTATATACCCCATGCATGTGCGTGTGTATACATGTGTACATGTCCCATATACCCCATGCATATGCGTGTGTGTACATGTGCACATATGTCCTATGTACCCCATGCATGTGCGTGTGTGCACATATGTCCTATGTACCCCATGCATGTGCATGTGTATACATGTGTACATGTCCCATATACCCCATGCATATGCGTGTGTGTACATGTGCACATATGTCCTATGTACCCCATGCATGTGCGTGTGTATACATGTGTACATGTCCCATATACCCCATGCATATGCGTGTGTGTACATGTGCACTTATGTCCTATGTACCGTGTGCATGTGCGTGTGTATACATGTGTACATGTCCCATATACCCCATGCATGTGCATGTGTGCACATGTGCACATATGTCCTATGTACCGTGTGCATGTGCGTGTGTATACATGTCCCATATACCCCATGCATGTGCATGTGTGCACATGTGCACATATGTCCTATGTACCGTGTGCATGTGCGTGTGTATACATGTCCCATATACCCCATGCATGTGCATGTGTGTACATATGCACATATGTCCTATGTACCCCATGCATGTGCGTGTGTATACATGTGTACATGTCCCATATACCCCATGCATATGCGTGTGTGTACATGTGCACATATGTCCTATGTACCCCATGCATGTGCGTGTGTGCACATGTGTACATGTCCCATATACCCCATGCATGTGCATGTGTGCACATGTGCACATATGTCCTATGTACCGTGTGCATGTGCGTGTGTATACATGTCCCATATACCCCATGCATGTGCATGTGTGCACATGTGCACATATGTCCTATGTACCCCGTGCATGTGCGTGTGTATACATGTGTACATGTCCCATATACCCCATGCATATGCGTGTGTGTACATGTGCACATATGTCCTATGTACCCCATGCATGTGCGTGTGTATACATGTGTACATGTCCCATATACCCCATGCATGTGCATGTGTGCACATGTGCACATATGTCCTATGTACCGTGTGCATGTGCGTGTGTATACATGTCTCATATACCCCATGCATGTGCATGTGTGCACATGTGCACATATGTCCTATGTACCATGTGCATGTGTATACATGTGTACATGTCCCATATACCCCATGCATGGGCATGTGTGCATATATGTCCTATGTACCCCGTGCATGTGCGTGTGTATACATGTGTACATGTCCCATATACCCCATGCATATGCATGTGTGTACATGTGCACATATGTCCTATGTACCCCATGCATGCGCGTGTGTATACATGTGTACATGTCCCATATACCCCATGCATGTGCATGTGTGCACATATGTCCTATGTACCCCATGCGTGTGCGTGTGTATACATGTGTACGTGTCCCATATACCCCATGCATGTGCATGTGTGCACATGGGCACATATGTCCTATGTACCCCATGCATGTTCACCCATGTGTACATGTACACACCCCCCTATGCCCCCCACCCACACGCCTGTGAACACACACACACATCTCCCCCACAAGCTCCGTGCTCTCCCCCCATGTGTCCACGCTTGCACACGCGTGTGCGGCCGCGGCTCACCACGGAGATGTTGGCCAGCCCCATGGCCGGCGTGGTGCCGTCCTCGCACACCACATCGGTGCCGTGGCACACGGCCATGGCCCCGGTGAGGCTGCTGGGCCTCGTCGCCGCCTTCACGTCGCTCAGCCCCTTGCCCCAGGCCGCCGCCGCCACCAGCCATAGGAAGGCGAAGCAAACGGTGACACAGAAATCCTATGGGATACCGGGATCAGCCGCATCCCTGCCGCCCCCCCCCTGCTCCTTAGGGATCCCCGTCCTAAGGGATGCCGCTGCCTTACCGCCGATGGGAGCTTCTTGTTCTCGCCGTAGAGGGAATGAAAGCGCAGGTAAAGCACTAGAGCTGCCATGGTGTAGAGGAAGGAGAAGACCCCCAGGGTCACGAAGAACTCGGCCGGAGCGGAGAAGTCACCCACGAGGTGCAGGGTGCGGGTGCCCCCCTCGCCCTCGCAGTCCGGCATCTCAAACGGGATCTGGTATAACCTGGGATAACGGGAACGGGACGGGTGGGATGGCGGTGATGAGTCCCTAAAGAGCCGCGCTGGGGTGGATGTAGGGCAGGGACCAGCGCTGTGCCGTGCTCCAGTGTCCCAGCGTGGAGCCGGTGGCCAAGAGAAGGGGCTCAAACTGTGGTTAATGGATGGGGCGGCTCCATCCCTGATGATCCCGGGTGGTGCCGGACCCGGAGCCGGGTGCTGCAGCTCCTCAGACGGACACAACATCCCCGCATCCATAGAACCGGTGGCTGCGGTCCCGTGCAGGTACCAGCATCCAGGCTGGGGCTGAACCCCAAACCAGCACCCCATAGACCCCCCATTCGCTGTAGGTGCTGGGGAGGACCCCCGGGAGGAGGGGGGGGGGTCCCCATGCTCGGTGCCCCCTCACCTGAAGGGGTACCCGAACTGGACGGAGATGACGCTCATCTCCTTGGTGTCCCCTTCGCATCTCACTGTCGCCCCCGTCTCGCCGCTGAAGGAGCCGCAGGCCCCGAAGGCAAAGATAGCGAAGAGCTGCGGGAGGGAAGGAGCGGGATCGGGGGGGGCTCCTCTGGGGTGGGATGCATCCAATTGGGGGTCCTCCGATGCTCAATGGATGCTCCAGCAAGGACAAGGACCCCCCCCCCCCCCCCATCCCTTCGTTTTAAGCAGGGTGCAAGGCGCCGGAGCAGGATTCCAGCAAAGCAGGAGCATCCCCATGGTGGGATCTATGGGGTCATCATCTCCATTGTCCCCTCCTGCCATTCCCCATCCCTTAGCATCAAGCTGGTCTCTCCTCCAGCTGGATTTTGCCATTCCCAAGTAGTTTTCCGGCAGCTCGTCCCAGCTGAGCTCAGAGGCCTGACGCCGAGGGGATGGGCAGCGGGAATGGAAGACGGTGTTGAGTGTGGAAGCGGGAATGTTGGCGGCCATCCCGAGGGATTTTCCTCCTCTTCGGGGTGCCTTTGGCACACAGGGGTTGCCAAGAGCCAGCCGGGTGCAATTATCCAAAGCAAATTGGGATCAAAGGAACCCCCCCTCACTTCGACACAGCTCCTCTGAGCAGGGGATGCCCAAAGGGGTCCCAGGGCTGAGCCCCCCCATCCCGTGCCTCAGTTTCCTCACTGCTGGCACCGCAGCATGGGGGTGGACGGGACCCCCCCCGGGCCCTCAGAGCCCCGGCCGCACAAATGCCACCATGAAACCCAATACGGAGCCATTCATGGCACGGCCGGGACAGGGCTGGGGCAGTGGCCGCTCGGCTCCCCCCCCCCCCCCGTCCCCGTCCCCGGGGTCCCCGCTCCTGGTGCCCGCTGACCCCCAGCACCCCCCCCCGCACCCCCAAACCCCCTCCCACCCGCTGCCCCCTGAGCCCATGGCACTGATGGGGACCCGGCACCCCCCTGTCACCGACACCCCCCCCCCCGGCCAAAGCCACCGGCTCAAGGTCACCGGGAGGGGGGGTTGCGTGGCCCCCGCATCCCGCGAGCACCCCAGGATGGGGTCCTTGTGCCGGGGTTGGGGGGGGGGGGTGTTAGGGAAGCAATGGGGTACCCCAAAAGTGAGGGTCCCGAAGGAGCTGTGCCCGAGGGGAGGGTCCTGGGCCGTGATGAGGGGAGGAGAAGCCCGGAGGGGGGGGACACTCACCCACTCCAGCACCTTGATGAAGCCGAGGGGCTCCAGGAGGCGGCCCCAGCGCACCCCGCTCAGGATGCGGTCCTGCGGGGAGAGAGCGGCGGGAGCCGGGGCACCGAGCGGCACCGGGGCTGCAACGACGGGGCTGCACCGGGGAACCGGGGAGAGGCTCCGGGGGACCGGCGGGGGGGGGAGCTTCAGGTCATGGAAGGGCTCTACCGGGGGCTGCACCGGGGGAGCGGAGGAGGAGGCTCGGGGGACCGGGGGGGGGGGTGCTGCAACGGGGGGACTGCTCCGAGAGACAGGGAGCGCTGCTCCGGGAGACGGGGGTGCCCCGGCTGCGAGCCCAGGGCAGCGAGGGCTGCACCGGGACACCGGGGAGCTGAGCAGGGCCACGGAGGGGAGGCAGCCCCGGGCACCGGGCAGGGGGGTGTCACCGGAGCCCTACCTGGAGCCGGGGCGCTTTGTCACCGGCCGCGTGGACGCCGGGGTCCGACATGTCCGGGCCGGGGGGGGGGGGGGGGGGTCGGTGCTGCCTCCGCCGCCCGCTGGGACCGCTCCGCTGTCGGGAGCCGCCACCGGGAACCCCACCGGCCCCGGGGGAGGGCAGCTCCGCTCCGCCCCCGGCTGGGTCCCCGGTCCGCCCCGTCCACCCCAGGGACAGACCCCGCCCCGGGCCGCCCCCGAGGGCCCGGCAGCCCCCGCCGCTGTGTCCGTCCGACCCCCGTTAACCTCCGCGTGCCACCATCAAGGGGACCGGAGAGGGGAGCCCCGCTGGGAGCGGTAACGGGGCTGTGTGCTCGGGACCCTGGCGCACCCCGGTGCCGCTGAGGGGGGGGGCCCCTCTCATCTCCCCCCGTATCCCTCCCGCTACCGGCGCCGGTTCCCCCATCCCGGTACCGCCCCGTCCATCAGCGCGATGGCCCCGCCCACTCCGCGCTGACCCCACCCCTTCACGCGTCTCCTCCAGCACCATAGACCCCGCCCCCTCCGCTCTAGCACCGCCCATTAGCCCCATGGCCACGCCCCCTTCCCTGACCACGCCCCTCTCCCTTTCCTCCTCCCAAGACCCCCTCCTCTCCCGCCCTCCCCGCTCTCCGATTGGCTGCTCTGCGCTCAGCGCTGTCCAATGAGCGAGCGGCGCGGGCGGAAGCGTGTCGTAAGGGCGGGGCCTCTGACAGGAAGCGGTGCCTGCAGACCCCGGTGTGGGCAGCCCCGCGCTCCCGGTACCGGCTCCCTCCGCCCGCTTCCCCCCGCTCCCCGCACCCGGTACCGCCGCCATCGCCGCCATGTTCCTCACACGCTCCGAGTACGACCGGTGAGTGCCCGCTGCCCGCCCGCGGCCTGCGGCTGAGTCACGGGCCTGCTCCCGCCCCGGCTCGCCGGGGGCCTGCAGCCGCTGACCGGGCCCCGCTGTTGTCCCGCAGGGGGGTGAACACGTTCTCGCCGGAGGGGAGGCTGTTCCAGGTGGAATACGCCATCGAGGCCATCAAGGTACGGGCCGAGCGCCGCAGGGGGGGGGTGTGTGTGTGTGTGTGGGGGGGGGGGGGTTGAGGGCTCCTTCCTTCACAAGGGGCATCGCTGAGCCCCCCCGCCCCGTTCTACAGCAGGAGGAGCTCGATCTCCCCCAGCCAATATTGCCCCTATGGGGGCGAGGAGCCAAAAGTCACGTCCAGGGCAATGAGCCCTGCGCAGCCCAGGCTGACAGTGCTAAAGCTCGGCTCAGGCCTGGGAGGTGCTGTGCTGTGAGCGCCTGAGTGCTCACACTGCCCCTGCATCCAGAAACACTGCCTGAAGAAGAGAGGAGCGCTTGGTCTGCTGCCTGCTCGCCTCTCTGCGCCCGTGCAGCATTCCTGCCTGAGCTCTGCAAAGATGGAACTGGGGAATCAGTCATGGAGTCCCAGCCTGGGTTGTGTTGGAAGGGAGCTTAAAGCTCCTCCAGCTCCAACCCCTGCCACAGGCAGGGACCCCTTCCATAGAGCAGCTTGCTCCAACCCCCTGTGTCCAACCTGGCCTTGAACACTGCCAGGGATGGGGCAGCCACAGCTTCTCTGGGCACCCTGTGCCAGCGCCTCAGCACCCTCACAGGGAAGAGCTTCTGCCTAAGAGCTCATCTCAGTCTCCCCTCTGGCAGGTTCAAGCCATTCCCCTTGGCCTGTCCCTACATCCCTTGTCCCAAGCCCCTCTCCAGCTTTCCTGCAGCCCCTTCAGGCACTGGAGCTGCTCTCAGGTCTCCCCTTCAGGAGCCTTCTCTTCTCCAGGCTGCCCCAGCCCAGCTCTCTGAGCCTGGCTCCAGAGCAGAGCTGCTCCAGCCCTCACAGCATCTCCATGGCCTCCTCTTGGAAGGCATCCATGCATCCATCATTCATCTCTTCCCCAAGCAACATCAATTTTGACACCTTAAAGCCTTGTGAATCCTTCTTTGCAAGGCAGAAGTGACCTCTGAAAGCCAGAGAGGAGGATTTCACATCACAGCCTTACCTCTGACTGCATCCACTTCCTTGGGCTTCTTTCTTCACATTAGCGCCTTTTCTCCCAAGCATCCTGGTATCCACAATAGGATTCACCACAGGAGCAACAGCACTTGCCGCAGGTACCATTGCCAGAGGGCTCATCTCCAGCCTCTACCTTGCTCCCAGCCCTGGGAGCTGTGCCCAGATCCCAAGGGAAGAAGGGACACTGGATGTCACTGCAGAAGTATTGTTGTGAATGAACCTACAGCCCATGGGCCCCACCTGAGCTGCTGCAGTTCCACCATGGGCTGAACAGGGAGAAAGGGAGAAGCCAGAAGCTTCCACGATTCCTGCTCTCATGGGTGGATTTGGAGCTCTCAAGTCAGCAGAGTGACCAGTATCCACTGGGAGTTTGCACTTCCCAATGCCTTGATAGATGAGACTGAGCTGAGCTCTTAGGCAGAAGCTCTTCCCTGTGAGGGTGCTGAGGCGCTGGCACAGGGTGCCCAGAGAAGCTGTGGCTGCCCCATCCCTGGCAGTGTTCAAGGCCAGGTTGGACACAGGGGCTTGGAGCAAGCTGCTCCAGTGGAAGCGGTCCCTGCCCGTGGCAGGAGTTGGAGCTGGGTGAGCTTTAAGGTCCTTTCCATCCCAAACCATTCCATGCTTGACCCTTCCCATTTTCCTTCTCCAAGTCCCAACATTTCAAGTCCGCTGTGCAAAGTTGGAGCATTTTATGGCTGGGTTTCTGCCTCCCAACCACATCACCTGCAAGTCACAGTTAGCATTGCCCTGCTTCCATGGGGGGGGTGGTGCTGACCCTGTGGTGCTTTCCAGCTTGGCTCCACAGCCATCGGGATCCAGACCTCGGAGGGAGTGTGCCTGGCTGTGGAGAAGAGGATCACCTCTCCGCTCATGGAGCCCAGCAGCATTGAGAAGATTGTGGAGATCGATTCCCACATAGGTAAGGAGGAAGGAAGGAGCACTGGGGGCTCCTCTCATAAAGCACCCCCCATTGACTTTTGGGGTACAGGTACCAGACTCTGTCTCCTAGGAGCATCAGGAGCTGGGTTTCGGGGCTGCCCTTCCCTGTGTGCAGAGCTGAGGGGGAATGCTCATCCCTCCCAGGTCCTGCTTGCTTTTCCAGGCTCCAGGCCAGCAGGACATAGTTAGAGGTGCAGGAAGAGGCAGCTGAAGCCCCCCCCAGCCTCACTGAGCTCCCTCATGAGAGCTCATCCCAAATTTAGCTCTGGGAGGGCAGGGAATTAGTGCAGAAGGTTTGATGTGAAGCCAGGTCCTCATGGAGCACTAATGTCAGCCTGGATCCCAGCTCCTGCACCCAGAAGGGGGGGCCCTGGTGGGCTCGTGAGCAGATGTGGAAAGCAGGATTGCTCCAGAACAGCTGTGTTGGTGCTGACAGGGGTCATGGGGCCTCCTGAAGGGCCTCATCTCCTCCCGTGTGCTTGTGGTGTAGCTCCTCTCTTCCTGCTGCATCCCCAAAGCTGTGGGGCATCGGCTCCCATGGAGGGCACTGAGCAGTTCCCCTTCCAAGCTCTTGCGTCTCTTCTTGGGTGGCTTCTCTTGCCTCCATCCCAGCTCTGGGGCATGGATCCATTTGGATCCAGAATCCCTTTGGATCCGTGCTCCTTTCCTTTCCAGCCAGCAGCGCAGTGCCTGCTCCCCCACGGAGAGCTTTGGGAACGAGGCATCCCCCACAGCCAGTGACATGATCCCTGTTTTCCCTCTCTGCTTCCAGGGTGTGCCATGAGTGGCCTCATAGCTGATGCAAAGACTCTCATCGACAAAGCAAGAGTAGAGACTCAGGTGAGACTTGGTTCCTGCTCTTAACCCAGCAGCCCCGCTCTGGGGGCATCTTGGAAGCCTCTGGAATGGGAAGAGCATCCCAGGGAAGGAGCTGGAGGGGAATGGGGGCTTTGACTTGTATTGGTGATGCTTTTGGCACCGTAAGGTTCCTCAGTGCCTCAGGGATGGGTCTGTGCTGGAGTAAAGGCTCCTCTGGGAGGTTTTCCTCCATGTCAGCCCTTTCCCACCCTCTGGAGAACTGGATGACCCCAGAAACGCACTGGGATGAAGAGCTCTGACCTTGTGTTTGCCATCCCAAGCTTTTCCAGGGGAGCTGCTCCCACCCTGGCGCTTCCCTCCTGTGGCTGGATGGGCCACAAGAAGTTGCCTGTGGCTGCTTCCCATCACTCCAGCCCTCTGTGTGAACGATCCCGGGTGCCCGTGTGTTGGGAATGGGGCCCTAAACCCGGGTGTTCCTGGATCTCTCCTGCAGAATCACTGGTTCACCTACAACGAGACCATGACCGTGGAGAGCGTGACCCAGGCCGTGTCCAACCTGGCGCTGCAGTTTGGGGAGGAGGATGCAGACCCGGGGGCCATGGTGAGGGGCTGGGGGTGCTCTGGGTGGTGGGGGGTGTGTGGTATCTCTTGCCTCCCCCCTGCCCTGACCTGGTGCCTCTTTCCTGCTGCAGTCTCGTCCGTTCGGGGTCGCGCTGCTCTTTGGAGGCGTGGATGAGAAGGGACCTCAGCTGTAAGTGATGCTCTGGGAATGACAAAGCCTCTCCCAAAGCTTCCCAGGACATCTTCCTGGCTTGATTCTGGGATTTCACTTGAGCCAGACACTTGGGCTTTATCCCATTATGGATCTGATGGGTCTGTTAATGCTTTTAAACCCTTCCCTTCAAAGCACAGCCTGCTCAGGGTTGATGCAAACCCCTTGTCTTCCCTGATTCCTTCCTCTTGAACCTGGTTCCTGGCTGGGAGGGAGCTGTCGAAGCTCTCCTCATCCCCAGTTTATTCTTACCTTTCCCTAAAGGAGAAGCAGAGCCACCGGTAACATAATCTGTGGAGCCTGCTGCAGCATTCCTTAGGGAGGTGCTGTAACCTGAACTCCTCCTCCTGTGCTTCAGGCCCTGCAAGGGGAATGGCTCCGCAGGGCCAACCCAATAAGGTCTCCCTATGGAGCAGGAGGGAAAACTTGATGGCTTATTCACTAAAGGGGGGAAATCAAGAGGAAAATGTCCCTGCCCTGAGCATGGAGGGCAGTGGCAGGAGTCTGAAGCTCTTCACATCCAGGCTCCCAGCCCGGTGCGGGTCTGGGCGCTCTTCACACCTTGGTTGGCTCCTCTGGGTGCCAAGAGCAGAGACCTGTGAGGTTGTGAGGCCCCCGAGGCCATGGGGTGTCAGGGAGGAGGAGGAGGCTGGAGGTGGCTGCTGCCAGCAGGGAGCAGCCCTATCCTCCCTCCCCAGCGCTGGGCAGCTCCCTGCTGGGATGGATTCACCTCCTCCCCCTGTATCCCTGCAGGTTTCACATGGACCCATCGGGGACATTCGTCCAGTGTGATGCCAGAGCCATCGGCTCCGCCTCGGAGGGGGCTCAGAGCTCCCTGCAGGAAGTTTACCACAAGGTAAAGGCTCGAGTTGCTCCTGGAGCCACCACTTTCCTTCCTGTGGGTGCTGGAGAAGCTTCTCCTTGTGCTGTTGAGGTGCCTGAGCCCCTCCGGGTGGGCCTGGGTCCTTGGCTGCTGGGATGGGTGCTGGTGCTGAGCTGCGGGAGCAGCAGTGCAAGCAGGAGCAGTGCACGCAGCAGCTCCCCCTGCGCTGCTGCTGCTGCTGCTGCAAGGGGAGGGCTTGGTCTCTTCCAGTGGGTGAGCTCAAACCACGTCAGGAAGGACTTGGTGCTGTACACACAGAGCTGGGCCTTGGGAGGGAGGGATGGATGCAGCCTGAAGCGTGAGGAGCTAAAGCCCAAGTGGCTTTGTCTCAGCACATCTCTTAACCCACTGCATTTGAGCCATCGTGGTGCCACAGAGGCTCTGATTTGGTGTTGAATGGAGCCTTTCTTCCCTCCACAAGGAGGGAGGTGCTTGTTTCATGGGGTCACTGCTGAAAAGCACACTTGAGGAGGGTGATGCTCTGAAGACTCAGGAACCTCAGTTGTTCATAGCAGAGCATCTCCAGTTCTGGGCTCCCTCAACCCTCTGCAAGCACAGATACCATCACTCTTTGCCTGTTCCCCAGCCTCTGCTTCCCCCTCACACAGAGATTTACATGGATGAACCCTCAGAGGGAATCCAGCTTTTCAGGACTCCTTGAAGTGGGGGGGGGGGGGGGATAGACAGGAACTGGTGAGGAGAACCAGCCCCTCGTGTCCCAGTCCTGACCATAGGGTGTTAGTGCTCAGTTGTGAAGCTTGCCAGAGGCAGAGTCGCCGTGCTGTGGTTGTTGCCATGCTGTGGTTGTCACCATCCTGCCCCAGCAGCAGCTTTGGTCTCTTGTGGATGCTGTCAATAATGTGCTAAGCTTTGAAACTTGCTGCCAGGAGCAGCTTAAAGGCTTTGGGAGGAGCAGGAGGGACGGCAGCGCCTTGTCACTGCTGCAGGGGACAAGCACTTGATGCCATCGCTGAGCGAGGGCTTTGTTTTGCAGTCTATGACACTGAAAGAAGCCATTAAATCTTCCCTGGTCATCCTGAAGCAAGTGATGGAGGAGAAGCTGAATGCAACCAACATCGAGGTGACTGGGACCAGGGTGTGGGGCAGGCAATGGGATGGTCTCGGCTTCCTCGCTGCACATCCAGTGTCTCAGGGGTGTCTTGGGGAGCATGGAAGAGGGATTCTGCATGAGGGCCTGCAGGGACAGGCCAAGGGGAGACTGAGATGAGCACAGAGGAGCTGTGGCTGCCCCATCCCTGGCAGTGTTCAAGGCCAGGTTGGACACAGGGGCTTGGAGCAAACTGCTCTAGTGGAAGGGGTCCCTGTCTGTGGCAGGGGTTGGAACTGGAGGAGCTTTGAGGTCCCTTCCAACCCAAACCATTGCAGGACCCTTATGAATGCGCTGAGGAGCAGCTCAGGGCTGGAGCTCTGGTGCTGGCTGTGGCTTAACCCAGCAAACCCTGGAGCCCTCTGACCTTAGAGGCCTGCAGTGCCACTCAGGTCTCTGTTTCTTCCCCAGCTTTGGCCATTCTCTTTCCCTTGCTCCTTGTAACATTAGAAGCAATGGGAATTCTGCAGCTTCTGGACTTGCTATATTGAGGCCTGAGCCAGGGCCAACAATCTCCTGGGCAGGAGCCCCACTGAGGTGAAGCCTCAGGCAGGAACGTGCTTCCCCTCATTCCCCTTTGCCCGCAAGCAGCTGAGCTCAGCCTGTCCTCGGCTCTCTGGCTCTGCAGATCCCCACCAGTGCGGTGGAACCTGGCCCCTGCAGCCCTGCTCTTCATCCTTAACGCTCCTTTATAGGCAGGGAAGGTAAAACCCCCTTCAGTTTGCTGGTGGTGGTGGCTGGATGATGAGCAAGGCTTGAGGATAGAGTTTGCTTCTATTTCGGGCAGGTTATGAGACACTGGCCCTTTCCAGCTCGTGGCATTCCAGCTCTGGAGCTGCTCTGCTGGGAACCTGTCCCCCAACCAGCCTGAATGTGTGCACCTCATCCCATGCTGCTCTGGGGACCCTTCCTGACAGCAGGAACCGGCTTCCTTTGGGTGGGAAGGGAGGACAGACACCGGGAGCCTGGATCTGCCTGATGGTGGGATCTGCTCCCAGCCCACATGGAGCAGCTCCATCCTGCCCAGCCCCAGGGCTCTACAGCACCGAGCAGAGGAGCATGTACAGTATCCTTATGTCACGTCCCTGTTTAACAGGGCTTAACTGTGCTTGGCAAAGCCCTTCCCGTGGTGAGGAATCATCTCGGGGTTGGATATGAGAAGAAGGCTGGGGAGTAAAAGGTCTCCATTGACTCAAGCCCCCCCCCTTGGGCTGCAAACCTGGAAGGAGCTGCTTTGCTTGGTAGCAAGTACAAGTATGTGGTGCTCTGAAGTATTTACTCTTGGTGCTTCCATCTGGAAGCCAAGTGTGGTCACAGGAGAGTTAAATCCATTGGAAGCAAAAGCCAGGAGCCTCCATTCAATGCCTTTCAATGAGTTACTTCCCTGTGAGGGAATGGTTGAGGAAAGCTCTTGTAGGGCCCTGCTGCTCCCATTCTAGGGGTGCAGCACACTGGGGGGGGGTCTGGGTCAGGTTGTGATGAGCTTCTCCTCCTCACCCAACACCCCTCGTGCTCTCTTGACTCTCACAAGGGGCAGGATGTGCTCCCTTGTTTGGTCACTGCAGAAGAGGTGCCTCTGCTGAGGACCATGCGGAGCTGCATCCCCTCCTCAAGCAGCCTCTTCCCCATGGCCCTTCCCTGCTGCTCCTATGAGGAGACTGAGTCAATTCAAAGCTATTTCTGCAGCAAGCAGCTATTTTGGGGGGCATCCCAGAGCATGTTCCGGGCTGGAATGCTGCTGCTGGGCCGGCCGGCAGCAGGGACAGCTGCTGCTCTGCTCCCTGCTTTAACCCCTTGCTCCTTCCCTCGCAGCTCGCCACGGTGGAGCCCGGCATGAAGTTCCACATGTACACGAAGGAGGAGCTGGAAGAGGTCATCAAGGATATCTGAAGAGGAAGAGGACTCCCTCAAAGGTTTATTTCCCCCCCCAGTGACCTGAGTGGGTTCCACTCCCTGGGGTCTCTTTGCCAGCAGCAGCAGCTGGGGTTGCTCTGCACAGAAGGCTCTTGAGGGTTTTTTACTGTTCCTGTACATAACTGATGTCTGCAAGGCGAGGGCAGGAGAATAAAGCCTTTTGTTACTCTATCCTGGGCTCCTCGTTGGGGGCTTGGAACGTTGGGAGCTGAAATAAGGGCATCGTCTGTGCCAAAAGCAGGGCCACGTCTCCCTCTCGTGGTGGCTTCGCATCAGCTCAGCTGCAGCTCAGTTTGGAGCTGTTCGGGGCATCCCCCTTTGGAGCTCTTTGGGGCATCCCTCTTTGGGGCATTCCCCTTTGGAGCTCTTTTTGGTCCATCTCCCCTTGTCCTTCTCCCATGGGTTTTGTCCATAAGGCTTGAGCTGGAGCTCTGACTCCTCCCCAGGGCAGAAATTCATAACCAGGCTTGGGATTTGCTTGGGAATACCCATAGCACTGATAGACCAGAGCCCATCAGGGCTAGGGTTAGTGGTGGAGCCCCTTCCCTGTCACCTCCTGCACGTCCTGCTTAGGTTTGAGGGCAGTTGTGTTTGCATTGGGAAACTTCTGCTCATCCGCTTGGTTTTGTTTCTCATTCCCCAGCATTATCCTTGGAACAGCATCTCAGAACTGAAGGGATAAGGGAATAAACTGGGATTTGAGTTATGGAATAGGTTGGGTTGAAGGGACCTTAAAGCTCATCCAGTTCCTACCCTTGCCACCTTCCACTGGAGCAGGAGCAAGCACTTGTACCCACCAGCCCCTACCTGTTACCCTCTAGTACCATCCATCTTCTTCAGGACTCCCTCTCTTGCTGTTGCCAGATGGATGTGGGAAGGGAAACCGGGTCTTCACGACTGGATCAGCCCTTGGATAACCTCCGTTCTTCCATCCTCTCCCATTCCTGCTGTGAGTTTCCCCTCTTTGCATTAACAAATTAAGGACACAAACTGGAGCATCAGGCGATGCCCGAGGCCATGGTTCCGGGTTGACCACACAGCCCTTACCTCCAGGTGGAAGAATAAAGGTCACCCATACACAGTGGATAGGCTCTGCCCTTCCCTGGCGTCCTGATGTGGCTCTGCCCATGGCCCTGCTCCTAATTCCTGAGGTGTGGAAGCTCGCCTGGCTGGAATATCCAGCAGGTCCGGGCCATCTGCCACCACCCAGCACCAGGCACCTCCTGCTTCATCCTCTACATCCACCCTTGATCCCAAACCTGCTCTGAAGCCTTGGGTCACCCTAGGGCCCCGTCGGGGTCCCTTTTCCTTTGGGAAGAGCTGAACCCGCTGCTGCTCGGGCTTTGTTTGTGTCCGCAGCCACACAAAAGCTCTTTCTTCCCGGTCACGGGTGCGCCGGTGGCAGCATCCCATGGAACCGGCTCTTCGGGATGGGAAAATTGAGGCTTTGTGTTCCTTATCTGAGCCCTCCCGGCAAGGGAAGAGCCTCAGCTCCCCGCCCGCATGGACAACGAGGGCAATGGGGAACGGGCTGGGGGGTCTGACCCGCTCTGGGCATCACCGGGTACCGAAGCACCCGGCTCTGCCGGTACCGGCCGCCCGAACCGGGGCAGCCGGACCTGTCGCTTCAGCCAATCAGAAAATCGCTTCGCTCCTTCCCTCGCCGCTCAGCCAATCAGAAAGCTGTCGCTAGGTAGATTAGAGCGCCGGGGTCAAAAGGGAGAAGGCGGACTCGCTGCCACCTGTCAACCAATCAGAGCAGGAGGAGGGCGGTGATTGACAAAGAGAGGGCGTGGGGCGGGGGCGGGGGCGTGTCTCTGAGGAGAGCGGCGTCTCCTTCAGCCAACCAGCACTCGGGGGCGCGGTGATGGGGCGGGGCTCAGCGTGGCGAGCAACCAATGGGGAGCGAGGGGCGGGCAGCGGCGGCAGGACCGGGAGAGCGGGGCGGCGGCGGTGACGGCGGCGGCGGGAGTCGCCATGGGCCCGCGGGGGGCTGCGGCCTTGACCGTGCTCATGGCGGCGGCGATGGCGGCGGCCGGGCCTGCGCTGGGGCTGCGGCTGCGGGGCCGGCACCGGGCCCCCCGCGGCGGCGGCACCGGGGCGCTGACGGCGACGGGAGGCGAGGCCTGCGGCGGCCTGCGCGGGGTCCCGGCGGCCCTTGGCAACAACACGCACCAGGTGAGGCGGGCACGGCCCGGCACAGCGGGAGCCGCCGCGGCTCGGGCCCGGGGACAGCGGGGACAGCGGGGACAGGAGGACGGATCCCTCCTGACAGCGCTGGGAATGGGCAGGGAGCCCCCCCCACCTGTGGGACGGACACACAGACATCCCCCACACACCCTTCCCGTCCCAAATCCCATGGGACGGACACACACACACACACACACACACACACACACACACACCTTGACCCTTCCCATCCCAAATCCCATGGGATGGACGCACACATACACACACACGCCTTGACCCTTCCCATCCCAAATCCCATGGGATGAGCACAGAAACAAGCCCCCCCCGACCCTTCCCGTCCCAAATCCCATGGGATGGGCACACACACACACACCGACCCTTCCCATCCCAAATCCCATGGGATAATCACAGAGACACCCCCCCTCCCGACCCTTCCCAAATCCCATGGGATGGACACACAGACACCCCCCCCCCTCGACCCTTCCCATCCCGGCTCCCATGGGATGGACACAGACAGCCCCCCCTGACCCTTCCCAAATCCCATGGGAGGGACACACAGACACACACACACCCCCCCTTCCCATCCCGGCTCCCATGGGAGGGACACACAGACACCCCCCCCCCCCGTCCCTTCCCATCCCGGATCCCATGGGATGAACACAGACCCCCCCCCCCCGACCCTTCCCATCCCAAATCCCATGGGAGGGACACACAGACATTGCCCCCGTCCCTTCCCGTCCCTTATTCCATGGGATGAACACACAGGCACCCCCCCCGACCCTTCCCATCCCGGATCCCATGGGATGAACACAGACCCCCCCCCCCGACCCTTCCCATCCCGGCTCCCATGGGACGGACACAGACAGCCCCCCTGACCCTTCCCAAATCCCATGGGATGGACACACAGACACCCCCCCCCCGACCCTTCCCATCCCAAATCCCATGGGATGAACACAGACACCCGACGGGCCAGGACACCGCGGGGGGGGGGGACACTTGACCGCGGCGCTGGCGCCGCTCCCGGGCCGGGATCGGGATCGGGATCGGGATCAGGGCGGGCTCCGTGCCCGGGCAAGGGCCGGTTGCCACCCGCTGGCGTTGCCGGCCCCGTTTGGCATTGCAAGCGCTGGGCCCGGCCCGGTTACACCGACACCGAGTTCTTCTCCCCTCCTTCCCCCCCTTTTCCCTTCTTTTCTCCCCCTTTTCCCCTCCGTTTCCCCCCATTTCCCTTAATTTTTACTTTTCCCGCTTCCCCCCCCATTTCCCCCTCTTTTCCCTTCATTTCTCCCCGTTTTCCCACTTTTCCACCCCATTTTCCACTACTTTTTCCCTTCATTTTTCCCCCTTTTCCCACTTTTCCACCCCGTTTCCCCCCCTTTCCCTTAATTTTTCCCGCTTTTCTCACTTTCCCACCGTTTTCCCTTTTCCCTTCATTTCTCCCCCTTTTCCCACTTTTCCACCCCATTCCCCCCCCCTTTCCCTTCATTTCTCCCCCTTTTCCCACTTTCCTGCCCCTTTTCCCACTTTTCCACCCCATTTCCCCCCCCTTTCCCTTCATTTCTCCCCCTTTTCCCACTTTCCTGCCCCTTTTCCCACTTTTCCACCCCATTTCCCCCCTTTTTCCCACTTTTCCACCCCATTTCCCCCCCCTTTTCCCTTCATTTCTCCCCCTTTTCCCACTTTCCTGCCCCTTTTCCCACTTTTCCACCCCATTTCTCCCCCTTTTCCCACTTTCCCACCCCGTTTTCCTCCCCTTTTCCCCTCTCATCCTTCTCAGTTCATCTTCGACGACCTCAGCAGCTCCGTGTCCCTGTCCTGGGTTGGTGACAGCACTGGGGTGAGCACTGCGGGCTCCCGGTTGGGGGGGTATCCCCACTTCCATAGAGGACAATGGGATCGGGATGGGGTGACCCCCACCGTGTGCCCTTGCTCTGTCCCCCTATCCCCATCCTGCTCATCCCGACGGCATTCCAGGTGATCCTGAGCTTTGGGCAATCCAAACTGTACCGGAGGTGAGTGGGATCCTATGGAGGGGTGGGAGGACCCCCCCCCTGCATCCCTGTTCCCACTTCCCACCGTGTGCTCCCTCCTTTGCAGTGAGGACTATGGGAAAAGCTTCCTGGACATCTCCAGCCTCATCAACAACACCTTCATCCGCACCGAGTTCGGTGTGGCCATCGGGCCCGGCAACTCCGGGAAGGTGGGAATGGGGATGGGAAAGGTGGAATGGGGATGGGAAAGGTGGGAATGGGGTTGGGAAAGTTGGGAATGAGGTTGGGAAAGGTGGAATGGGGATGGGAAAGGTGGAATGGGGATGGGAAAGGTGGGAATGGGGATGGGAAAGGTGGAATGGGGATGGGAAAGGTGGGAATGGGGTTGGGAAAGTTGGGAATGGGGTTGGGAAAGGTGGAATGGGGATGGGAAAGGTGGAATGGGGATGGGAAAGGTGGGAATGAGAATGGGAAAGGTGAGGAAGGGAAAGGTGGGAATGGGGATGGGAAAGGTGGGAATGGGGATGGGAAAGGTGGGAATGGGGATGGGAAAGGTGGAATGGGGTTGGGAAAGGTGGGAATGGGGATGGGAATGGTGGGAATGAGAATGGGAAAGGTGAGGATGGGAAAGGTGGGAATGGGTTTGGGAAAGGTGAGGATGAGAAAGGTGGGGTTTGGGATGAGAAAGGTGGGAGTGGGGATGGGAAAGGTGGGGGTGGGGATGGGAAAGGTGAGGATGGGAAAGGTGGGAATGGGGACGGGAAAGGTGGGATGGGGATGGGAAAGGTGGGAATGGGGATGGGAAAGGTGAGGATGGAAAAGATGGGAGTGGGGATGGGAAAAGTGGGGGTGGGGATCGGAATGGTGGGGATGGGAAAGGTGAGGATGGGAAAGGTGGGAGTGGGGATGGGAAAGGTGGGGGTGGGAAAGGTGGGGATGGGGATGGGAAAGATGGGAATGGGAATGGTGGAGATGGGGATGGGAAAGGTG